CCATTTCTCTTTTGCAGCAAAAAATTACATGTATATATTATTAAGATAATATATACATCGGGTCTTATTTTTTTTTAAGAAAGTTTATTTTGCTCCATTTTTGGAAAAGAGGGAGCGTGGGTGGCGAGCGGTTTTTAGCAATTATTCCTATTTTCTGTTATCTGTCCCCGTCCCTCCCCACCCCCTGCTGAAGCGAGAATAAAGGCAGGGACCTGGGCTTCTACCTACCGGTAACCCCTCACCCGCTCCACCCCCGCCCCTACGCCCAGCACAGTGCCCTGCACTCAGTAGGCGCTCAATAAATGTTCGTGGATGATGATGATGATGATGATGAAAAAAATGCAGCATCAACGGCAGCAGCAAGCGGACCACGCGAACGGTGAGCAGCCAGCGCCTGGCACCCGCTGCCAAACCTAATCCTTGTCATGGTCCTCCTCTCCCACCCTCCTCGCTCCCACCCCGCCCGTCTCTGCCGCGCTGGGTGGGTTGAGGGGGTGGGAGAGGATGTTTCTGGCTCGGTGTCATCTGCAGAGAGGGGATGTGCGTGACAGCCACCCGCTCTCGCCTTCAGGCCTCGGATGGCACAGTTAATTCTGCATGTGTGGGGTGGGGGCGGCCGGGGTCGGCGGAGCGCTGTGCTGCAGCGGGGGCTTCGCGCCGAGGTGATTTGGGTTCGCGTCCTCGGGCTCAACTTTCCTCCTGCGCTCCCGAGCGATGGAAGAGGGGTGGCTGTTAGTCTGCAGCCGGAGCCCCCTGTCCAGCCTCGTCTCGCCTTCACCTGGTTTCCAGCCCCTTTTAGACTGGGAACAAGGTCTCCCGTGGCATCCTCAGAATTCTAGGATTGCTGGCTTTCACCCTTCGCGCCGTTGGCTGAAGCACACCCCTCCCCCAGAGGGAGGCCAAGTCCCCCGAATCGCTGGCCGGGGTCGGTGGAGCTCGTGTTCCCGCTCCCAGTGCCGCTGTGCACACGGCGGTAACCTAGCAATGCCCGGGGAGTCGCTGCCGCCGTGGGGCTCCCCTCCCCGGCTCCGGCCCGGCACCACGTGCAGCTACCAAGCCGCCGGCTGTGCTGGGTCGAGGGAGGCTGGAGCAGCTGCTGGCCAGCCCTCCTCCTTCCTCCGAGGAGGTCGCTGGTGCCCTCCACAGCCCCTGTGGGCTTGCAGCCTTCCCAGGTGAGCGCTCCCCAAGGAAAGGCTGGGCGCCACACCTTTCCAGGCCCAGCTGTCTTCTGCCCGCCCCGGTGGGGGGCCCCCTTCCCGGGGTGCTGGGCAGGCAGACCTGTGCTAGCTTTGACTCTCCCTTGTTCTGTACTCGGCAGGAATGGGTTTTGCAAACGCCTGTCCCTCGTCCACTTCCACCACTCTCACTTTGACTTCTGTCTCAGTAAGAAGGCTGTGACCCTTTTTAGGCAGGTGCGGGGAGGCCAGCTTAGGAAGTGGCCTGACCCAAAGCCAGAGGGGGCGTTGCACGTCCGTCCCCTTGGGGTTCTGCCCTTGTGCACCAGGATGCCAGCTACACCGAGATGATTCCTGCTAGGCCTTGAGGCCCCCTGGCATAATCCAGCCCGGCTATCCAAGGCGCAGGGGTGCAGGCTGCCTGCCTTGTCTGTTTCTCTGGATGCTGGCTTGGCTGCTGCGGCTGCAATTTAAAATGCAAAAAAGCCCTAAAGATGTTTGCTGTTTTCGGAAGCCCGTGGAGGAAATGAGTCCCAACCATCATGAATTTTCATTTGCAGGAAGTGTCAGTGCATAATCTAGATATTTGTTACGGGGCTCTGGGTACGGCCCTGGTGCCAGCCGAGGACTTCTTTTTCCATGCTGAAAAATGAATTGGTGGCTGCGGAAAGATGTTGGAGTAACACCCCGAGAATGATTAAGACTATTGAATTATTGGCATTGCCTTTTCTTGGTGTGTGTGATGGCGGTAGTTATTCTAGAGAAAAGCTATTGTACGTATCTGTTAACTCATTAGAGACACATGGGTTTTAAACAAGAAAAGATAGATGTGGAATAAATGTGGGCATGACCTCAGCTTGTCTGGAGCAATGCACTGGGAGACGCCTTGTGACTTCATGGAGGTGGAGAGGTGCGCGCCCCTGGGCGTCCTGCTGCACGGCCCGGTGTGACTGACACTCAGGGCCGAGTGCTCTGGCCGACCAGATCCCTGTCACTGAAAAACAGGACATGGGGTTCAAAATGGGAACATGGGAATGCTTCCCCCTTGTTACTGATGGGAGGCAATCTTTGCTTTCTTTTGACACTGGGTTCTCATTTATTTTTAAAAATATATATATTTTTCTTTCTTTCCAGAGGCAAACTATGCAAGAAGCACCAGGTTCTCTCTCTCTGGTGAAGGACCAACTTCTCAGCCGAACAGCTCCAAGCAAACCGTCCTGTCTTGGCAGGCTGCAATCGATGCTGCTCGACAGGCCAAGGCTGCCCAAACTATGAGCACCTCCGCACCCCCACCTGTAGGATCTCTCTCCCAAAGAAAACGTCAGCAATACGCCAAGAGCAAAAAACAGGGTAACTCGTCTAACAGCCGACCTGCCCGCGCCCTCTTCTGTTTATCACTCAATAACCCCATCCGAAGAGCCTGCATTAGTATAGTGGAATGGAAGTATCCTTTTTTGGGGGGGAAAGTCTTTCTCATTTTCTTTTACCATCTGTTCTTTAAAAGGATTTGTGTTCTGCAATGGCACTTACAAAGTGGTTGCAGTCTGGAATGTGTGCAACAGAAGCTGTGTGTAAAGTGTTTCATTGTACATACCTTCCTATCTCCTCCAGGGGCAGAGGGGTGGCTCTGAGGGTATATTTAACCTCCTGTGTGTGTGTGTGTGTGTGTGTGTGTGTGTGTGTGTGTGTGTAGTGGTGGTAGTGGGGGTAGGGAGTGACATCCCACAACTTCCAAGTGGTAGATAATTACAATGTGGAACTAACTTTTGGTCATTTGGCATTAGATGGCTAGTTTAAAGCCACTGTTGTTTCGGGGCAGTGGTATGCATTGAACCTATTGCCACTAAGGTCTGCTGATAAACAAAAAAGAAGATGGTATGAGACTCTACTAGAAGTAAATACATTTTTCACCTTTAGTGGAATCTTCTCGTTTTGATGTTTAGGATTTGCTTTTCTGAAATTCCAATTAATGCTGAGGTTGCTTCCAGCTCTGACATTTGGCGATTCTAATTGTTCAGGTAACTACAGAGACGAACACTTGCTTCTGCGGGAGGGAGCATTTTGCTCATCAGTGCTATGACTTTCTGGAATTTCCTTTTGACAGGTTCCAAAAAGGCTTTTGGAACGTGAGCTTGAGGGAGCATGTGAAGGGAGCGGTTTGTGGCCGCCTCTTTTCCCCAGCCCGTAGGAGTTATTTGAACAGCCCTCTCAGTGGAGGAATTTGCAGTGGCTGCTTTTATAAGAAATTCTGTCTATGTCCTTGGACTGGAGTTACATGTCTGGGTGTCCCCTTTGCATTTTTAAAACTGAACTCCACGTGCCCCAGGATGGTGGTTATGTCCCAGGACTTGGAAAACTAGGGTGCTGGCCTGCTCATCCACCTTCCCCAGATCCGGAAGCCAGGCTCCAGTTACCACCGCCTCCCTTCGGAAAAGGTTGACTGAGGCCTTCTTTCTATGCAAATGGCTCCTAATTAGCCAGTCCATTCATTGGTCTAGGTAAAACGAAGCATCTCCTTTCCCCAGGAGTATATTTGGGGCCGACAAGGGGCCTTAGAGCAGTTTCTAACTATAGGAAGGAGTGTGAATCTAGGGCTCCTCCCACACCCGCATCTTGTGGGAGTGGCCACACTGAAACGGGAGGATGTTGGAAAGGGCTCGAAGGTAGAGCAGAAACCTCTTATAGTTTGAGTACCTAGCCAGGCAGCTGTTTACATTCCCTCTGTCTTAACTGGCTACCTCTGTGCTCACGCACACGGAGTTAAAGTGAGGTAATTCTCTAGAAAGGTTTTGGAGAGAGCAGCCAAATGCAAGGATAGGATTTGAGGGGTTTTCACGTTCTTTTCCTTTTTAGAACAGATGTCTCTTCTCTAGAGGGAGTTATGGTGTCTCTCACATGGCTGGGGTGGTGTGGATGTGTTCTCTCTTTAAATTCTTTTCTAGTCTGAGCATGAACACCAGTGCCGGCCCAGAGGGAGCCAGGTAAAGAGGGTGTGCCGGTGGCATCCCTGGGGTCAGAGGCAGTGGTTGCATTTTGCCAGAAAGATCTCCTCCTCCTTAGGCTGGCTTGCGGGGACTCCGAGTCAGCAGAGGCCCCTCGGTGGAGTCATTCGTTCCCTGTGCAGTGAGGTGGGAGGCCTGGTGCTGTTCCTCTTTGTGCACAGTGATTTGTACGTAGCAATTTATGTGCCTGGAGTGACTTCTGGGTCATGCTGCCGACTCCCTTGTCTGTGTCGCCAGACACGTGTGTGCAGGAACTAGGGGACGTGGCTGCCAGTGCAGGGAGGAGCCTGCCCACAAACAGGACAGTTGGTAGAATAGATCCTTGAATGATATATATGATATCGTTTGTTTGTTTTCAATGGACAGTGTCCTTCTAGTGCAGGGAGCAGGTTCTAGAAATCCTCCAAAAGCCAGCTGTGCCAGGCCCAGCCAGCTCGGGGAGAGGGTGAGCCTAGTGTGTGTGTGTGCACACAGGCAAGGCAGAGGGAGTCCTGCACCTTGGGGGGTGCGAGGAGTGTCGCCTTATCAGAAGGGATTTTTAGGATCCGACCCATCCATTCCTCTGTTGCTCTGTTCTCCTTGGCCGGTAAAAATCCTGTGGCCGGGGGATCGTGGCCACCAGTACCTGGAGACTGCAACTGGACCACCAGACAGAACGAGATACTTCTGTTTGGTCTTCCTGAACAGCTTCAGTATTTCTCGGGTTTGCTGGCCTATCATTTAGGTATCGGGAAATGAAAAAGAAAGCATGGTGGTGTGGAGGAGGGGAGAGACAGTGTGTTTCTATATAGAATAACGCTGGGGCAGTTGGCTTTTTACATTTCAGTAGGAACTGCTAAAAATAAAAATAAAAAGGAGAGTCTGACGTCTTAATTTGGATTTCCTTAAAGTTGGACCTCTAGTTAAGCGATCTCATAGGACTAGATGTGTTAAGAGAATAAACATGAATGAGAACTAACTGGATTTAAAAATAAATCAACATCGGCGAGGAAATAACATAATTCGAGTCTTACTTCAGTGAGTGCTGATGCTCTTCAAGGGCTGAGGTTTCATGAAACCCAAGGTATCCCCTTGGAGGGAAGGGGTTTTCATTGCCTGCAGCAGTTTTGGGTTTCCCGGAAGGATATCAGAGTGGATGGAGGAGGATCTGTTCACGTTCTCAGTACTCTGAGGTGTTTAGTTAAACCCGTGGCCTTGCCTGGTGGGTTAGCATATGGGAAAAACACTTGGAAAATCAAGCCCCAAACTTGCAGGTTAGGTTGGTGCTCATGAGACCTTACATTTGGAAAGGCTGAAAACCAAAAGGAGAAAAACAGTCCTTTGGGCAGATGTCAACTTTGGTGTTGCCAGTTTTGACAATGTCTCTTAGTAACACCAGAATGTTTAAGCAAGTATCTCTTGAAAGCTGACCTCAGTGATTCTCCCAGACAGAGCGACCCCTGAGATTTAGAATTGTTACATTTTACTTTGAAAGTGTCTGGTGCTAAAAAAAAAAATGTGTCTGGTGCTGATTTCTTATGGCTTTTAATTTAATGTGTGATAAAGTACATGCAGTAATAGCACATTGTAAACGGAGCTCCAGTCCAGCTCTAATTTGAAGCAAACCATTGATTAGTAGAGAAGCCTAGCTTGGGTATTACAGTGTCTGAGGAATTGGGACAAGCCAGGAGATAGGGAGAAGGTCCTGGTGACTAGGCCTGCCCCGGTCCAGAGATTCAGACTGACCCAGCCAATATCCCTGAGAAAATGGCTCTAACACCTGGAGGCAAGGATTTGTGGGAGAGATTTGTCTCGTGATGACTTCTCTTTGGGTCTGGAAAGAAACAAACAGCCAGAAATTTAGCTTTCTAGGCCCTTGTTGGTTTTAAAACTATAAGAAGCCGAAACCTGGTTCGCAAAGTGCCCTCATTGGATGTACTTTTAGGTTTTAATATAAAATGCTCAGCAGAAGCATGAATGTAACATGATCTTTGTAACAGAAGAAGGGGACACGGAGAGGTCATTTGATAGCAACATCTACAGTGAGATGACCCCCAAGATTATTTCTCACAACAGTCAGTTTGTATATATAACTTCCATTTTAAAAGTGATTCAAAAGTGGTGTGATGGGAGTGCGATGAGAGAGATGGTTTGTGTTTGTATAACATACGCACACGTGTGTGTGTGTGTGTGTGTATATATGTGTGTCTATATATATGTATATACCTTAACAAACATTTTCAGACCATTTGACATATTTATATTATTGGCTATTTTTGCCAATTGTGTGGCCTTAGCTATTTACATCCCATTCCCTGAAGATGATTCGAATTCAACAAATCATAACTTGGTAAGTGTCCTCAGAGTTCCTACTTGTCCTGATGTGTGGTTATCATTTGCCTGTATACTTACTGGCAGCTGGCTTTCTGGGTGGTGGAAGTTCACCGCTATGCATGTGTTGTTTCCCAGAGCTTTACAACAGTGGTTGTTTATTTTTAAAACGTGTATTCTCAAATTTATACTGAATGAAAGTGTTTAAAGTCATGGATCTTGTATAAATAGATGTAGAACTTTTTATGGAAGAGGTTTTAGCAGATTTTAAAATGACTTTTCTCTCCATATAGGCTTTTGTTGTCTACATTCTTTTCCTGATAATATTAGATTTTTTTTTTTTAAATCCAGTGTTATTTGGGAGTGGTGGGTACTTTGGTCAGTTTTTCTGGTAAGTAGAGAATTACCATAGATGTTGTGTATAAACTATTAATTTTTAGAGAAGTAGAGTGCAACAAAGCCAGTAAACTATGTGGTGCATTACTCAGAGAAGCACAGTGTAGAATTGAAGTTCTTACTCCCAGTCCTATGAGATGCCCCAAAGATAAAATGATTCCGTGGTTAAATAAATTGGGATTCTTCCACATATTTTATTGCCCTCCTCAAGATTTATAGTGCACATCAGCTCAAGTAAAAGCTCCGGGAAAGTTTGGAGTTAAAAAACCAGTTTCATTTTGTTTAACTCAGCTAGTCCTTAAAAGTAATTGGTCATGGATTCTTTAAACATTGTTTTGGCAGGACACATCACAGAACCAGTGTTTCGTGGAGCTTCCTTCGGGAAAGGTTGATATAGTTAAAAACTAAATGTAAAAAAGCACTGAAGAGTGCTAGTGTGGGACTAGGAGCTTGTCTCACTTGACTGTCAGCTGGCTATATTTGGGGGCATTTCCCATGCCCTTTCTGCATTGCCTTTCACCCACCTGCCAATTAAGGGGGTTGGATGAGAAGGTCACTAGGGTTGTTTTTACCTCTGAAATTCTGTCATCTTTCCTTGATGATTCAGAAGCCATTTCAGGATTCTTTCTGGAGCCGCAGCATCCGTGCCAGATCAGTCCTTTATAATTGGAGGCCGGGCAGGAAGGCAGATGGAGGAGGGGGCTAGTGTCTCGGACAGGAAACGCTCTCCATTGTTTTGCTTTCTCTTCTTTGAGCTGCTTCCATTTGTTGTGGTTTCTCGTGGCGAAGCTGTGTTTCAGTAGGGCTGGATGATCTTGACTGAGGGTTGTAATAGCAGAATTGGTGTGGGCAGTGCTCTGCTGAGTTCTGAAGATTCTGAAATTGTGCCCTTGTGATAGTAGCCCTCACGGTTTATGTACCAGATTTCATGGCACATGTAAGTTATGCGGCACAGTTCAGATGTAGCATGATGTCTATTCATCTTTGGGGTTTTCTGGTCAGATTTCTAGATCATTAAAAGTATGTGGATATTGCTACTGAAAATTCACTTGTAAACGGGAGTTAGATATTCATACACACAATTACTGTTAGTACATATTTATACTGGGCTGAAGATGATTTGTGTAACTTTGCATATTTAAAATAGCTTCTGCTTTCGCGGCAGATAGCGACATTAGATGATCACTTCACAGGGAAAGCAGAAGTCCTGAAAAGCCCCCATCAGTGGGGGTAGGTCATCAGCGTCTAGGCCACAGATGGTGTCAGCCTTGTTACCAAATTTAACAACGTGGATGCTGACCCAGTTTGTTGTTGTTTTTTTTCTTTGTAGCTCAAGAGAACATGATTAAACAAACTTAGAAAATAAACACCTTTCAGAAAGGCAGATTAATTCAAGTCAAAGGAAAAATTAATGAAGCCCAGCATGTATAGCCAATTAATATTCTGATTCTTCCCAGGGAAATTTGGGGCACTAATAATATATGTGCTGTCAAACCATTTGGGTTTCTTAGCTAATAAGGGATGGAGTGAAATATAGGCGATGGGTAAATCTCTTTTCTTCTCCCTGGCAGCCTCTCTCCAGTTTATCCTTCTTTCACAATTCTTAAACACTGGTCTTTCTTTCGGGGGGATGGGGCCGTGTGTTCTTTTGGCAGGCCTTTCTAAAAACCAACATCTATTTCTTTGACCTCTCGGGATTCTGAAACTCATAGCATTCCCGAGTTTGTCTTGTGTTCACTAGGATGGTCACGTGGCCAGATGAGTTTATTCTCTGTCTGACTCTTTAAATATTTCCTTTCCCACTGTGGGAAGGGAAGAGCGTTGTGGATTTCCCCTGACTCTCAGCGAGGTCCCATGCCATGTCAGCCCTCCCGCCAGGGAGCCGGGTTTTTTTTTTTATACATTTGACCCAATTTGTACCAAAGTGATTGCTCTATTTTTGGGATGGGTTTAGAGGCAGCTGCGCGAAGCTTGTTTTTCATCTGTAGTAAATACCTTTCAGTGAATGTGAATGGCACAGCAAAGGTCAGAGACCGGGACGGGTTGCCAAGCTTTACCTTCCCCGGGAGCGCGTGGCTCTCTTTGCTTCATAGCTCTGTGGGAAATGTGTATGTCGAGCACGTAGGGTGAGATCCAGGGCCGGCTTTGTGGAAGGTGTCCCTGCCTGTTACAGGTTGTTTGTAGTGATGTGATTACTTGGTTGGGTGAGAAACCTGGCCATCCCTCTGGGTACAGGGTGTGTTTGGTGTGGGTTGTGCATAACGCAGCCAGCTGTGGGGATTTAGAAACTACCTTGGGGGCAGCAAGTTTTCCCAGGGTTAGATTTAAAAAAAAAAAGTATAAACAATCTCAAGTTTCAATGCAGCGTACATTTGTGGACTTGCAGGGAACTAGTGAGGCTGAAGCCATGGAAACGGTGCAGCTCAGTTCCCACAGTAACATCCCTCTTGGCTCCGTGAGTGGTAGTGTTTCCTCAGTTCCACTTATTGAAAACGTATATCACTTACTTAATTTTCTTCTTAGCATGGGGTGTGGGGGAGCTCTTCTTATGGAGTGGCAGAGTGGGGATGATTACAATATTGTACCTCACCGTGTTGAAAAATGCTTTATTTTGCTTCCCAAACTCGAGTTTCTCCTAAGCAAACTGACGTGGTTGAACAGTGTTCAGTCTGTGCAGCCTGTTCCTGGTACCCCCGCCTCGCCCAGCCCACCTCCCGTTTCTCTGTAGTGCTGAACGGCCTCACATTATAACTGTCTAAAGTGGGGATGTTTGCCCTAGCCGGTTTGGCTCAGTGGATAGAGCATCAGCCCGCAGACTGAAGGGTCGCGGGTTCAAGTCCAGTCGAGGGCATGGTGTGTGCAGGAGGCAACCAATTGATGTGCTCTCTCACATTGATGTTTATCTCTGTCTCTCCCTCTCTCTTCCACTCTCTCTAAAAATCAGTGGAAAAATATCCTCTGGTGAGGAATAACAACAACAACAACAAAAGGGGGCAATTTCCTCTGCCACGTCACACCTGCCCTGAGGTCTGCTGATGCCCGCACCCACGGAGGGCAAGGCCCATGCACTTCATCAGGCAAAGTGCTTGGCTCTTACCAGCTGCTCAGTGGAGTCTGGGTAACTCAACAATGAAATCTGAGAAGCTCCACTAAGTCTTTGGCCCCCTTTCCTGCCCCTTTTCTCATCTTGTTGAGGCCAGTTTGTGTTTAGCCTGTTGACATTTTGCCTCTATAGCAGTGGTTCTCAACCTTGGCTGCACATTAGAATCACCTGGGAATCTTTTTTAAAATCCTGATTTCTGGGCCTCATTCTCCGGAAATTCTGTTTCTTTGTTACTAATGTTGTGGTCCCACCCTGTTCCTATAGCTGCTCAGGAATAATCCCACATTGTGTCTCTTCCATGAGGTCTTTTCAGACCCTGGTCTGAAGGGACACTCTTATCTGAACCTCCCTCGTGGCACTTTACAGATAAAATATCCTTTAGTTTAGTTATTCATCTGCATATTTTATCATTACCTTCAGAAAACAATTCGCAGTGAACCATTTCCAGTCCCCAGCAGCACCTGGCCGGTGGTGAGGAATAGATGCTCAGTAATGTGTGTTGTTGATGTCCCGAGTGAACTCTCTCAGGAGGGGCACCTCCCTATTCTTTCCTCAGAGCTGTGCTCAGGATTTTCCTGGATGACAGGACCCTCTGTGGACTCCTTGGAGGTCCTTGGCTGGGGGTGGGTGGGAAGTTATAAGCATTTATTCCTGAAAAGCTTAGGGTGTTGTGACCCTCATGTGTGCCTCTGGCTGGAGGAGCCCTCTGACTGCCTGTGTCAGGCCTGAGCAGTCAGTCCAGCACAGCCTGTGCTCAGAGGACCAGAGCTCGGGTGGGGCATCTCGGGGAAGCAGCGCTGGCTGGGGACAGTGTCAGCGGGACCGGAAGTGCACAAGGGCCAGGAACACAGTGGGACTGTCTCCTTTGATTGCATTCTCTTCTCCATGGCTGAGATTCCAGTGTACAGTGTTTCCTGGGCTTAAAAGTGAGTTCCTTGGATCTGCACAGTCATAGTTCAGCATGTTTGTTTTTGCAGAGGGAGTGGTGTGAATTGTAACTCACCTGGTTCATTGGGCTTACCAGTGGTCGGCAAACTCATTAGTCAACAGAGCCAAATATCAACAGTACAACGATTGAAATTTCTTTTGAGAGCCAAATTTTTTAAACTTAAACTACATAGGTAGGTACATTGTTATTAACTTAATTAGGGTACTCCTAAGGCTTAGGAAGAGCCACACTCAAGGGGCCAAAGAGCCGCGTGTGGCTCGAGAGCCACAGTTTGCTGACCACGGGCTTAGCCTATAAGGTGGGTGTCAGTTCTGCACCTCACCTGCACCGTGCCTTTGCTCGGCTGTCTTTGGATGGTGTGCTCTCATTTCTGTGTGCCTAGGTCTGTCTGCCCCTGTTGCTCAGCCTTCTCGGATCCCTAATCTCTCCACCCAACCCCCACACCACCTAAGGGTAGGTACTCACTTTCCCTTTGCAAGCTTGGTAAACTCTCCTCTTTACAGATGCTAGCCCATGTCCGCCTGCTTTTATAACTGCTCTGGAAGTGGGTTGGGGTGTGGCAGCCCGGCTC